ATGTCACACTAAGAATATCCATTGTAACAAATGGAATCAAACTAAATTAAATTAAAATTAAATTAAATTAAATTAGTGACTGCTCCTGATTTCCGCATTCCTTGAAATTGCAGGAAAATGTGTTTTTCTTACCAATACCATTGATATTGATGCTTTTATTATTCTTATTGATATTATGATAATTAAATTGCTAATAAAATCTTTGTAACATTAAAGACAGTGAAATGATACAAAAGAAATTTTCCAAAAATCAAGAAAAGGGTAAACAGGTGAGATAGGTAGGACTAGTAGTTAACTCCTTGGTGATGGAGCACTTGTAGAGTCATCTATATGTAATTACAATAAATGAACTTATATTACAGTAGGCATGGCATGTATTTTTAACTAAACCGCAAAAAACTGACTCACCAGAGAATCCAAGGCCTCACAGCTTCATTTGCCAGAACTATTGAAGAATTATAGGTTAGTAGTTACTTGGCAGACATGGCCAGCGAGGAAAAAAAACCCAGTATATTTAACTTAAATACACTCCCTAATTTTAAGTAGTGAACAATATTAGTGTTAATTAATTATAATTCTTCCTCCTTACTATCTACTTACTTCTTCCAGCACCTCCTTAGGAAGTGTAGTGCAAAAACAGTTTACCAATGAAGGTATTGAATGAGTCATAATTAGTATTGTAATGGTTATAACATCTATGACCATCTGATCCTACCAGTTATTCATGAAAATACCTCAAAGTCTGTGTTGCATAGTGGGGTTAGTATAGTGGCTGTTACAATTTTTTTTTTTTTTTTCCCCTATTCTAGTGTTGGACCACAATCTGTCTGGATATTTTTCATCAGATTCTGTCTGGTTGTAGGTTTGGTGTGGTTGCACCCTGATTCTGTCACTCATACTTATACTGTTGTTGCCACTTGACACTGAGACTGAGACTGAGATTGAGATTGAGATTGAGACTGAGACTGAGACTGAGACTGAGACTGAGACTGAGACTGAGACTGAGACTGAGACTGAGACTGAGACTGAGACTGAGACTGAGACTGAGACTGAGACTGAGACTGAGACTGAGACTGAGACTGAGACTGAGACTGAGACTGAGACTGAGACTGAGACTGAGACTGAGACTGAGACTGAGACTGAGACTGAGACTGAGACTGAGACTGAGACTGAGACTGAGACTGAGACTGAGACTGAGACTGAGACTGAGACTGAGACTGAGACTGAGACTGAGACTGAGACTGAGACTGAGACTGAGACTGAGACTGAGACTGAGACTGAGACTGAGACTGAGACTGAGACTGAGACTGAGACTGAGACTGAGACTGAGACTGAGACTGAGACTGAGACTGAGACTGAGACTGAGACTGAGACTGAGACTGAGACTGGGACTGAGACTGAGACTGAGACTGAGACTGAGACTGAGACTGAGACTGAGACTGAGACTGAGACTGAGACTGAGACTGAGACTGACATTGACACTCATACTCACATTTACACACACACACACACACACACACACACACACACACACACACACACACACACACACACACACACACACACACACACACACACACACACACACACACCTGGTTATGAAATTATTTTGCTCTATTTTTTATAAATGTATATCATGTATCACTTTGTGTGTGTGTTCATGTTTGTTTGTTTGTTTGTTTGTCTGTGAGAGAGTGAGAGAGAGTGAGAGATGTAAGTGGGGTAGGGGTATTTGGGGCACTCAGGAAGCACAGAAGATACACAACACCTACACTGATTGTATGGCTTGTGTGAATACAAGATACTGCCTAGGTACCCAGTATTGTCTCTTGGTAATTTATTTCCTGCTTAGAATTCTTAGATTTATCTGTAAAGCCCCCAAACTATTCTAATATTGTGTAATGATACAAGACCTGCCATTACTAGATGCATGTAATATTAACCCCATTAAGGGTTAAAGAAAAATATTTTTAAAGTTTAAGACTAAATGTCAATATTTTTTCCAAGCTTTAATGAGGTAGTGTCTAAAATTCTGTCACTATCCAAACATCACAGGTATGCAACATAAAACCATCTATGATAGTGAGCCTTGGGGTCTGTCACCATCCATAACCCTACTCCCTCAGTATCTGTCCAAATTTGGATATACCTCAAAAGCAGTTGGGAAATGGCACTTGGGTTTCTACAGACAGGAATTCACACCAATGAGTCGAGGGTTTCAGTCACATTTTGGATATTGGGGAGGCCATAAGGATTATTATGACCACACGTCAGTTTGTATGGTATGTTTTTTTTTTTTTAAACTTGTGTGTTTTTGTGTATGGCTTTGGACTGTGCTTTGTTTTTAGGGGAATAGTTGGTCATTCTTAAGTTTGAATACAAGATTTCCAGCTCAGGTACTTTTCCATTTGTTTTTTAGGTGTACCTTTTTGATGTATGTATGTATGTATATAAATATATGTATGTATATATATATATATATATATATATATATATATATATATATATATATATATATATATATATATATATATATGAATGTATATGAATATATATATATATATATATATATATATATATATATATATATATATATATATATATATATATATATAAATATGAATATATATATATGAATATATATATATATATATATATATATATATAATTTATTTATTTATTTATTTATATATATATATATATATATATATATATATATATATATATATATATATATTTTTTTTTTTTTTTTTTTTTTTTTTTTTTTTTTTTCTTTTCTTTTCTTTTCTCCTGTTGTATAACAGTACTAAAAGGATATTAATGGAGAATGACAGCCCTTTCAGATGCAACAAACAGAATTCAAAGCTGAGTATTGGTGTGAACTAGAGATTACTCCATCACTTACCAAAAACTTAACCCATTTGCGCCGGGTAAAAATGAACAAAAATGGGGAAAATGCTGTGCTCATTTTTTATATTTTTTTATGAAATTTCTCTACACTAGATGGCTCTGCCTTACCTGAGTTCACCTTTACTTGAATTGGCAGGAAAATGTATTTTTACTAGTGTTACGAATATCGATGGTTATTTTTATTATAAACATTATAATTACTATAATGGTATAAACATTAGTAACAGCAAAATAAGATAACGCAAAATAATTTTGTAAATCAAAGAAAAGGGTAAACAGGTGAGACAGGCAGTACAAGTACAAGTGGAGCCATCTATGTGTGAAAACAATTAAACAAGTAAACTCACAGTGAGCCTGTCACGTATATGTGACGCCCGGCGTGAATGGGTTAACTGTATAGTTCATGAGCGTTCTTATTTCGTATTAAAATATTGTTTTGGGCTTATTTTGGCATTTAACATAATGTTGGTATTTTTTTCAGGATACAATACTAGAGAGTTTTTTTTCCAGAGAGTATAGAGCAATGAATCAAAACTGTTATTTTGATCTATCTTATCTGTGATTTTTTATGTAATGCATGTCAAGCACTCAAAAATTATTATGCCATCCATCCAAGTCTAGGGTGGGAGGTCACAAGAGACTGATTGTTGAGGAATATATAATTATTAGTAGAGCCCAAAATGAACTTTTATGAAAGAATGGTCCTGAGATAAAGGTGAAGCTCTGAGGAAAGATGTGCCATACTTTGGTAAAATTTAGGAAACTGAAAGCTGATAGAAAAGGTTACATTTTAAAATTATTTTAGAATGATAAAGTTTCCATTTTAAATAAAAGATAGAATATTTAAAGATTGTTCAAGTAAGTGTAGAGCATATGTTGAAAATGGAATTAATGAATTATCTTTTTAAAAGAGAAAAAAAGAAAAAAAAAGAAAACATATTGACTGATACCATTGTTCATAGGTCTTAACCATGATGTGATCTATGGGCCTCAGCCTTATGGCATTCCCCTGGGTGAAAGACTCCTGCCCCAGCACTTAGGCCAACTGGGCTACATCTCTCATCTGGTTGGGAAGTGGCACCTAGGCATGGCTATAAAAGAACTGACACCAACCTACAGGGGCTTTGCATCGCATTTTGGGTACTGGACAGGGCACAAGGATTATTATGATCATTCAGCACAGGAGGCGGTAGGAATCAGTATTGTATTCTCATGAGTTATAGGAAGTGATTGTGTATCCATGTGATGCTTTTGAATTTATTATTATTTTTAAAAATTTCTATACAGGGCTGTTCCTAGGTAGGGACCTCTAAATTTCTTTAATAAATTTGTGGGCTTTTAGGTTTGATGATGCATCCAGTCAGGTAGGTATATGTATCTCGGATTTACCAGTATACACTAATCTTTTTCATAACTATATTAGTGTTCTTCTCCTGCAGAGTCAAAATGGGAAAGTAGCCTAATGTTCAGATTATTGTCTCGCCCTTAAAGGTTTACAACACTCAACTATAGGTGGCCCACACCCCTATGGCCTAGACCTGGTAGAAACTCTCCTCCCCCAACGGTTGGCCAGACTCGGTTACACGCCCAAGCATGTTGGCAAATGGCACCTTGGCTTCTTCCAAAAGGAGTACACGCCAACGTTTAGGGGTTTTGAGTCACACTTTGGGTATTGGTCAGGAAGGATAGATTACTACGATCATACAGCCTTGGAAAATGTATGCGCTTTTAGATTACTCTCTCTGCATGCTTTAGTTTAATTTATTTTCAAGGTCCAGACTATAAGAAAAAATAGAATTTTAAAATCTTAATAGGGTCCATATTTGTAATTATTCATGAATGAGAGAGGACTATATTATTTAGATATAGATAAGTTATGTGAAACAGAAAACTAATATATTATTTCAGATTCAATTATGATATTAACATCAAAATCAGCTAAATCAGGGGGACTGTTTCAAGGAACTATTTTGTGTCATGCTTGCAGTGAACATACTGTTGACATAAATATCAAATCACCCTCTCTATTCAGTTCCTAGTGCTCTTTAATAATTATCAATAACACTCCAATCTCCATAAGTAAAAACTTATAACCTGAGTTAGTGCAGAAAGTCAACCTACTTTCCACCTCAAGTTTTTTTTTTTTTTAGATAAGAGAATTAATGGGAAAAAATAACTGAAATCTCCATCAGATCAGAAAAACGGGGTAAAGAACAGAAATCACTGCTCCATAAAAACTGAAAGAAAAGTAAACAGTTCCCCTGATTTGTTCAATATGTGCTGTATTTTGCTGCTTAGGGCTGGGAAGTCCGTTTCTCATTCCTTGAGATATTAGGAGGATATTTTGTTCCTGGTTTTGTTGAAAAGATCCAACTGACTGGTAAAATTAAATTATTGCATGGAGAGTAATAATGAACTACCACTTATCTGCTGTAATTTTAGAAATGTAGTGACATGTTTGGTGTTAAAGATGCTTTGCTACTGATTTTAGATTATCTTGGATGAACATTTTCTATCTTACCCCTAGTAACTCTAAGGAGATTCTGCAATAGATCTGTTTGCCTTTGAAATCAACATTCATTGATTAGACTACTGTAAAAAAATGAATTAAATTTTGCAATAATGAAATTTGTTTATAATTGATGGATATTACAGTGCACTTTCAAATGACCCCTTTTTTCCAGCCTGGCTATTGGGGATATGACATGAGGAGAAATATGAGTGTTGCACATGACTGCTATGGTAAGAGCAAAATCATAATAAAATATCGAGTTAACCCTAACTATCATGTTACATAATTAGTATTAGTTCAAAACCAACTTTCAAATAGTGCTAATCATAGCATTTCTAATAATGGCTTGACAGAAAAATTGTAGAAAAGGACATAAAGTGAGAAAGAAAAGAAAAGAGAAAGAAGAAAAAATGCAAGGCCTACTCATACCACATCTTTTCACCCCATCCTAGGCAAATACACCACAGACCTCTTTACGGATGAAGCAGTGAAGATCATAAACGAACACGACACATCGAAGCCCCTTTTCTTGTATCTTGCTCACCTTGCTGTTCATTCAGGCAATCCTTATGCCCCTCTGCAAGCGCCTGAGGAGGTTGTGGAGAAGTTCTCGTATATCAACGATGTTCATAGGCAGAAATTTGCAGGTAATAGATGCTTTTATGTAGAGATACTGTAACTGCTATGAGAACTATCCATTTATTTTTTTTTTTTTTTTTTTAGACTGTAGGAGTTGTCACACTTTCTTTTGATTATATTTCATATAAACAGTCACTATGAGAAACAATAATTATAGTAGTAATGTAGTAGTAATGTACTGATAATTAATAATGATAATGATAATGTTAATGTTGATGATAATAATGATGATGGTCATAATGGTGATAATAATGGTGATAATGAAATGAAAGTAAAGATAATGATGATGATGATGATGATTGCAGTAGCACTTATACTACTACTACTATTAATGATGATGATGATGATGATGATGATGATGATGATGATGATGATGATGATGATGATGATGATGATGATGATGATGATGATGATGGTGATTATTATTATTATTATTATTATTATTATTATTATTATTATTATTATTATTATTATTATTTTTTTTATTATTATAATAATGATATTAATATTGACAGTAATGATAATGATAATGTTAATGATGATGATAATGATACTAATATTAATATTGATACTGATATTGATATTGATATTGATATTGATATTGATATTGATATTGATAATGATAATGATAATGATAATGATAATGATAATGATAATGATAATGATAATGATAATGATAATGATAATGATAATGATAATGATAACGATAATGATATTGATATTGATATTGATATTGATATTGATATTGGTATTGGTATTGGTATTGATAATGGTGATGGTAATGGTATTGGCACTACTAATAAATCATTTAATAATTATATATGGTGATAACTTCATTATCCAGAAAACTATGCAAAACTATTTACTTTACGAGACCTTTTCCTTGTCCCTAGCAATGCTGTGGAAACTGGATGAATCTGTAGGCAGGGTTGTAGGAGCACTAAATGACCAAAAGATGCTCCACAACTCAATTATCGTATTCACAACGGACAACGGTGGTCCAGCTGCTGGCTTTAACTTGAACGCGGCTTCGAATTGGCCTTTGAGAGGGGTAGGTATTGTGCTGTGTATGCTGGTATGGGGCTACAGTGTGTTTGTCACCTCATGTCTTACCCTATATTGTACTGTGCTGTGTTGTAATGAAGAAACAAACAAATGAATGAATAAATAAATGAACAAATAGGTGAATTAATAAGTAAATAGTTAGATAAATAAATAAATAAATAAATGGATTAATAGATAAATAAATATTTATGTGTATATTCATGTGACTAATTCTGCAGTATGAATAACTCCTCTGGTATATACTTTAAAGTCAGATGTGAATTTATTCATAAAAGGATAAACAAGTCTTTTGCACTGTCCAGCATCATCTCCTGAAAATCCTTTTTGAATTTAATGCAGGTCAAAGCAGGTATGTGGGAAGGGGGAGTGCGAGGGGCAGGACTCTTGTGGTCACCTAAGATCTTGAATCCCGGGAGAGTCTCTCAGCAAATGCTTCACATCACTGATTGGTTGCCTACGTTGGTTTCTGCTGCAGGTAAGGTAGTAATGGGACTTTAACTGCGCTTTTGGTTCTGTGTTTTACTCTTGGATGTTTGGGTGTTTTATCTTACAGAGGGTAAATCAGTAGGTGACAGTATTTGTTTTTGTGTGTTATTTTGCTTTGACAAGATAGGTAAATTAAAATAATGATGGATATTATTTTATTACAGGTGGTGATGGATCAAGTATAAAATCCCTTGATGGCATAGATATGTGGAAAACCTTAACAGAAGGAAGAGATTCACCACGTAAGGACTTCCTTGTGAATTATGACCCCATATTAGATGGTGCAGCTGTGAGATTTGGAGACTGGAAGTTATTATACAGTAAGTCTGCATGTGTATTGGCTGTTCTGGCTGTGATGCTTTCTCTTTGCTGTTTGCGGAGCCTTCGTATTTTTTTTTAACTTTAGTGTTTCAAGCTGTAATTTTGATTCTAGTCTTAGCCTAACTTTTTAGATACTCATATATTACACCTCTGTCAGACAATTTAAGAATCAGCTTAAACTGAAAGCATGAACATATGGCTAAAACAAGAATCACATTGGGAAACCTATAAGAAAATGATAGTAATAATAATGAAAAAAAATGGAGAGGAATCTAAATCAAACTCTTATACTTCTTACCATATACCCCACAGACCCCCAAGGTCCAGATCCCCACTGGGACGGCTGGTTTGGCCCCTCGGGTCGTAATGAGACAGCTCCAGAGGCAAGTTTGAAGGTGATAATAGAGATGGTCCTCAATTCAACAGTGGCCAAAATAGTGAGGTCTGCAACACCCGATGCTTACCAGAACCTAACGTCTGTGAGGAAGGATGCTGAAGTATGTTATTGTAGTACTATTAAGTTTATATTGTCTGGGTTATTATGATTTTATTCATGTTATCTGTTTCATGTGTTTGGATCATTTGGGGCTATTGCTCTCTGTTGTAGTTCATTGATATTGTACTATCTATGTGATTAATATACTGTATTAATCATAATAGTTTATATCTAATGATTTTTTAGTTTTTCTAGAAGAAAAGTTTGATGTATAATTAGTCTACTATACTGTAGAAACTACGTAATGCAAGCCTAGTTCATTCTGATCCAGATGCCCAGATATAAAAAATATTGATCATTTAGTATTTAAGATTTTCTATCCTTCTTTAAAAAAAAGTGTATACTTTGTAACTTTTTCATGATAACTGACTCTAACTTATTTGGAAGATCATGAATTTTCTATTCCCAGTTTATTAACATAGTTTTGTAGATTGTCTTCTGTGAACTAAATTATATTTTCGATGAATGATATCTTGTCCATCACCCAATGATCACTGTGAAGGTGTTTAGCTAATGGCATTATTAGTTGAATTGGATTACACAATTCATTATTTAAAATTGGTGATCAATAACTAATATGCAAATTTTAGGTATAGAGAAATATATCCTCTACTTCCATAGCCTTGACATTACCATTATCAACCTAAATGTGACTTTTAGCATGGTAAATGATATATATTTGTTTTACATTTCATTCTGTTTTACAGATTCTTTGTGGACCTATCCCAGCAAACGCAACAAAAGTATGCAATGTTACTACCTCTCCATGCCTATTCAATATTTTGCGTGATCCCTGTGAATATACAGACCTTGCTGCCAGCTACCCTGATGTGATGTCCATCCTAAAAGCTAGATTACAGGACTACATTGACACTGCAGTACCCCCTCGTAACAAGCCCTGGGATCCGTCAGCTAATCCAAAGTACTGGGGTTATGCATGGACCAACTGGTTGGACTATCCACCTCCTGTCGAACAGCAAATGGAAGGAAGTGTAACACAGACAGCATTCGCCAATGATATTTATGGTGATATGCTACCTGAATGATGAGAAATGAATATCCTGCTGTTCTCATATTGTTTGTCATTTATTTACTGGATGAAATGAAAGTGTCCAGAAATTATTTGACTCAAGTAGACATAGATTATTGTGTTATGGTTGTGATTTTTGTTTGTTGTAATAACCTTAATGTTTATGTATAATTATATATATATATATATATATATATATATATATATATATATATATATATATATATATATATATATATATATATATATATTTATATATATGTACAATATGGTTATGTAATGTGAATAAAAAGAAGAATTATTTACAACATAACTCTTGCATAACATAATGCTTGAATTTATATATAAAGAAATATACATAATCCTTCTCTGGGAGACAAGGCCAACATTATTTACTTTCACAGATGGTTGTCTTTGTTTTTGTTTTTATTTTTCTGGGTAGAAGTAGCAGAGTAAGGTAAATGGGAGGCAAAAACCAGGGCATGGGTAATAGGTTGATGCTTGTGATTTGTGAATAAAAAGAGGAATTATGCACAACATA